CAGGAGGCTGAGGCAGGAGAATTGCCTGAACCCAGGAGGCGGAGGTTGCGGTGAGCCGAGATCGCGCCATTGCACTCCAGCCTGGGTAACATGAGTGAAACTCCGTCTCAAAAAAAAAAAAAAAAAAATGTAATGCTCATTGATGGCAAGGAAAATTCTGAAATTTAGGGTAAGAAGAGCTGTAGTTATTAACCAATGTGAGTACCCTTATGTAAAGTGGCTTATAGGGTCAAAGTTCTTTAAGCAGCATAGACCTGGCCAAGCATGGTGGCTCACACCTGTAATCCCAGCACTTTGAGTGGCTGAGGTGGGTGGATCACCTGAGGTCAGGAGTTCAAGACCAGCCCAGCCAACGTGGTGAAATCCCATCTCTACTAAAAATGCAAAAATTAGCTGGGCATGGTGGTGGGTGCCTGTAATCCCCGCTACTCAGGAGGCCGAGGTGAGAGAAACACTTGAACCCAGGAAGCGGAGGTTGCAGTGAACAAGGATCACACCATTGCCCTCCAGCCTGGGCAACAAGAGCGAAACTCCATCTCAAAAAAAAAAAAAAAAAAGAAGAAGAAGAAGCATAGATCCTAGGGGAGGAGCTTTAAGACAGCTGACTGCTAGAGACATCTGGTACTCAGCTTCACAAACAACCAAAATAGCAAGTAGATAATCATATTTCAAACAGATCATTTAACAGAGAACATTGGAATTAGAGAAGTGACAGGAAACACCTAAAGCAAGGAAGGAGGGGGAAAGGAAGAGCCTGCTACCTGGGATCAGCTGGAAACCTGGAGAGGCTCCCCAATGTGGGGAAAGGGTATGTGAGTGACCCCCAGTGGTCCACATTTCCACTGCAGACTCCTGCTTCCTAGCCACAGGAAAGCCCCTAGACCCTTTCGGGCCCTAAGAATAACATAGGATGCTGTCTGAAGAATGCAGGAAGACATGGCTCCAGAGAGGGAGGTCACACTGGGTCCCACACATACCCCAAGCCCTAAGTAGCTACAGCAAAGCACCATATTGGTTGCTAAAACTCACCAGACTGCATCCTGCCTGGGGCCCAATAGCCCCTGCATCTCCACATTTTTGAAGCCCCATTGACATTTCACACTCACAGCCACCATCGTAGCTGACTGTGCCACCAGGGCTAAAGCGTCAGGCATTGGCAAGAGTTCTACTGGCCCCAGCAGTGAAGCTGCAGCACACCTTCACATGGCCTGAGGACAAACTCCCTTATCAATAACAGCTGCCACACCAGACTGCCTCCACCAGGCCCAAAGTGTGAGCACCCACCTGCATATGACTATTACCAACTGAAAGCAACCCTGTCCTCTATAGTAGCAGGGCTGTTGCACAGTTGCTGCTGTCCCCACTCAATCATTCTGCCTTGAGCTTGAGGAGCACCGTACCTCTGCCTAATACAGCCAGTGCCTAAATGCACTGCCTGGGGAACTGAGGATAGGTCCACCCAGCCTCGCTCAACTCTCGCTGTGACCTACCATGTAGTATAAGAGCCTAGAGGCTGCCCAGCAAAGCCCACCATTCATGGCAGATAGGCATTCATCCTGAAGGCCTGAGGTTGGGCCCACCCAACCTGCCACTGCAGGTACCAACTTGCATATGCCACTTGGAGGCCTCAAGACTGTCCTGCATAACCAATTACAGCCATCATAAATACCAATGTGGCCGGGCGCTGTGGCTCACACCAGTAATCCCAGCATTTTGGGAGGCTGAGAAAGGTGGATCACCTGAGGTCAAGAGTTCGAGACCAGCCTGACCAACAAGGAGAAACCCTGTCTCTACTAAAAATACAAAATTAGCCGGGCATGGTGGTGCATGCCTGTAGTCCCAGCTACTCGGGAGGCTGAGGCAGGAGAATCGCTTGATCCTGTGAGGCGGAGGTTGCAGTGAGCCAAGATTGCACCACTGCACTCCAATCTAGGCAACAAGAGTGAAACTGCATCTCTAAATAAATAAATACCAATGTGGATAGCTTGGGAGCCAAAGGCTTGTCCCACCATTGCAACTATCATTGCCCACACCATACCTGCATCCAGGAGCCCAAAAACCTGCCCACCTTCCCAGCTTGCCACTCTCATTACTGGCACCCAAGCAAGCCACCTAGGAGCCCAAAAGACAGCCCACCTGGATCTAACACTGGTGTCAACATACACCATGCTGAGACACAAGGACAAGTACATTCAGCCCACCGCTGGGATCAAGGGACCAAGGACAGGCCCATGTGGTGTCCCTGTCCCCAGAAAAACTTCACCACAGCCTCAACCAATAATAGCATCCTAAACCACTGAGGAAATCACAAACATCACCATATACAAAATCAACTCAGCACAGTAAAGACTGAAACGTAAGACCTGAGACTATAAAACATTGGTCTATGCAAGGAACTTATGGCTAATACCTCAAAAGCACGGAAACAAAAACAGACAAATAGGACTATATAATAAAAACCTTTTGCACAGCAAAGGAAACAATCAACAGAGTAGAGACATTGCTGAACTGAAGAAAATATGTGCAAATGATTCATGCTACAAGGAACTAATATCCCAAATATACAGATAACTCAAAAAACAGGATAAAACAAACCCATTAAAAAGTGAGCAAAGGACATGAATAGACAGTTCTTAAAAGAAGACATGTAATTTCCTAACAGGTATATGAATAAAAATGCTGAACATCATTAATCATCAGGGAAATGCAAATCAAAACTATAATGAGATATCATCTCACCCCAGTTAAAATAGCTATTATTAAAAAGAAAAAAAATAACATGTTGGCAAGGATGTGAAAGGGGAATGCTTATATACTGTTGGTGGGATTGTAAATTAGTATAGCCACCACGGACAACAGTATGGGAGGTTCAAAAAACTAAAAATAGAACTACCATATGTTCCAGGAATCCCACTACTCGGTATTTATCCAAAGGAAAATAGATCGGTATATCAAAGAGACACCTGTGAGCTTACTGCAGCACTATTCACAACAGAAAGATATGGAATAAACCTAAGTGTCCATCAATGAACTAGTGGATTAAAATTGCACATACAAGCCGGGTGAGGTGGCTCATGCCTGCAATCCCAGCACTTTGGGAGGCCGAGGTAGGCAGATCACCTGAGGTCAGAAGTTCGAGATCAGCCCAGCCAACATGGTGAAACCCCATCTCTACTAAAAACACAAAAATAAGCTGGGCATGGTGGCAGGCACCTGTAATCCCAGCTACTCAGGAGGCTGAGGTGAGAGAATCGCACTAAGGTCAGGAGTTCAAGACCAACCTGACCAACATGGAGAAACCCCATCTCTCCTGAAAATACAAAATTAGCTGGGCATGATGGTGCATGCCTATAATCCCAGCTACTTGGGTGGACGAGGCAGGAGAATCACTTGAACCCAGGAGGCAGAGGTTGCAGTGAGCTGAGATCACACCATTGCACTCCAGCCTGGACAATAAGAGTGAAACTGTCTAAAAAAAAATGCATATACATACACACATACAATGAAATACTACAGTCTATAAAAGAATAAAATCCTACGGCTGGGTGCGGTGGCTCATGCCTGTAATCCCAGCACTTTGGGAGGCGGAGGTGTGTGGATCAGGAGGTCAGGAGTTTGAGACCAGCCTGGCCAATATGGTGAAACCCCACCTCTACTAAAAATACAAAAACTAGCTGGGCCTGGTGGTGTGTGCCTGTAGTCTCAGCTATGTGGGAGGCTGAGGCAGGAAAATTGCTTGAATCCAGGAGACCAAGCTTGCAGTGAGCTAAGATTGCGCCACTGCACTCCAACCTGGGCAACAGAAGGAGACTGTCTCCAAAAAAAAAAAAAAAAAGAATAAAATCCTGTCATTTGAAGCAATGTGGATGGAACTGGAGGTCACTATGTTAAGTGAAATAAGCCAGGCCCACAAAGACAAATATCACGTATTTTCACTCTTATGTGGGAGCTAATAAAGTTGATCTTATGGAGGTAGAGAATAGAATGATAGATACCAGAAACTGGGAAGGGTATGGGTTTGGTGTGGGTTTGGTGAGGATAAAGAGTGATTAATTAATGGGTACATTCAGTTAGATAGAAGGAATAAGTTCTAATGTTTGACAGCACAGGAGGGTAACTATAGTTAACAATGTATTGTATATTTCAATAGCTAGAATGGAGGACTTGAAATGTTTCCAACACAGAAATAATAAGTACTCCAGATGTTAGACATCCCAAGTACCCTGACTTGATCATTACACAATCTATACATGTAATGATGTATCCCATGCACCCCATAAATATGTACAAATATTATGCATCAATTAAAAACGGAAGTGTAGATCTTAGAAAGGCTCAATTACTGTCCAACCTCTAGAAGCTAAGATATAGGCCAAGAATCCTTCAGCTCTTTAATTCAGCTCAATTCATTTCCAAACACAAGGGGAAATAGTCTTTGAAGTTAGAACAAGAAACTACAATTTTATTCTAACTCCCCCATTCAGCACAACATGCTCATTTTCTTTCCATTTTCTTTCTTCCCATCCATGGAAGTGGTAGGATCATTTTCTTTACTTTAGCTTTCCCTGCAACTGTAGAGGCTAAATTGCAGAAGTAGAATTCTTACTTCCTTATAGTAGGGTAAATATCCAGCAGGGGTAGGTGGTAGATCTATATAAACTAAAAAGCTGTTGTACAGCAAAGGAAACAATCAACAGAGTAAAGCAATAACACAGGATTCTAAACATTGCTAAGATTTTTTTCACACAGAATATCTTAAAAATGGGGTTGTTATTGAAATAAGCCTAATTGTTACAATCCTCACCTGAAATTAAATAGTTTAATAAATTTTTCTTTTTTAAAATTTCAACTTTTATTTTACATTCAGGTGGTACATGTGCAAGTTTGTTACCTGGGTATATTGTGTGATGCTGAGGTTTGGGGTATGATTAACCCCATCACCCAGGTCCTGAGCATAGTATCCAACAGTTTTTCAACTCTTGTTGTCCTTCCTCCCCACTCTAGTAAACCCCAGTGTCTCTGTGGCCATATTTATGTCCCTGAGTACTCAGTGTTTAGCTCCCACTTATAAGGGTGAACACATGGTATTTTGTTTTCTGTTCCTCATTAATTTGCTAAGAATAATGGTCTCCAGCTGGTATCTATGTTGCTGCAAAGGATATGTTTGTCTTTTATGGCTATGTAGTATTCTACAGTATATATGTGCCATATTTTCCTCATCCAATACACCACTGATGGGCACCTAGTTTGATTCCACGTTTTGCAACTGTGAATAGTGCTGCAATGAACACACGAGTGCATTTTTTCTTTGGTAAAAACATGTATTTTCTTTTGGATATGTACCCAGTCATGTGATTGCTAGGTCAAATGGTATCTCATGGGATATCCGGTAAATCCAATATTCACCTTTAAAAATTCCTACAATTGGCCAGGTGTGGTGGTGCATGCCTGTACTCCCAGCTACTTGGGTGAGTGAGGTGAAAGGATCCCTTGAGCCCAGGAGGATGAGGTTGCAGAGATAAGATCACACCCTTGCACTCCAGCCTGCACTCCAGCCTGGGTGACAGAGTGAGACTCTGTCTCCAAAAAAACAGGCCGGGCGCGGTGGCTCACACCTGTAATCCCAGCACTTTGGGAGGCCGAAGGGGGTGGATCACAAGGTCAAAAGATAGAGACCATCCTGGTCAACAAGGTGAAACCCTGTCTCTACTAAAAATACAAAAATTAGCTGGGCGTAGTGGCGCAAGCCTGTAGTCCCAGCTACTCAGGAGGCTCAGGCAGGAGAACTGCTTGAACATGGGAGGCAGAGGTTGCAGTGAGCCAAGATCATGTCACTGCACTCCAGCCTGGCAACAGAGCAAGACTGTCTCAAAAAAGAAAAATAAAAAAAGAATTCCTACAACTACTTAATAGGTGCACAATGATCATATACAATCCTCTTTGCATATTCCTAACTTCCTAGAGGGCAGGGATTGAGACAGAAGATAAGCAAGTAATGATTTTATGAGTATAATTTTTCTAAATGTATTATTATACAATTAAGATGATCACTATGCAAATGTAAGATCTTTAAGATTACTCACCCTTCTCCAAAGTAGGACTTAAAATAGTCCTTACAAGTTTTTAAACATTGATATAATTTACATAACAATTTATCCATTTAAAATGTACAATTCAGTGGTTTTTATATTTACAAAGTTTAAAACACTTTCATTACCTGAAAAAGAAACCTCTTATCCATTAAGACTCACTCCCCATTACCTGCCAACCTATCCCCATCAGCCCTAGGCAACTACTTAACTACTTTCTGTCTTTATACATTTACGTATTGTGGACATTTTCATATAAGTAGAACCATAAAATATGTGTTTTGTGATTAAATTATTTCATATAGCATGATGTCTTTGAGGATTGTCCATGTCATAATATGTATGGTTTTTTTTCCTGCCAAACAGTATTCTGTTAAATGGGTATAGCATACTTTACTCATTCATCAGTTGGACATTTGCATTGTTTCACCTTTTGGCTATTAAAAATAATGCTGCAGCCGGGCGCGGTGGCTCACGCTTGTAATCCCAGCACTTTGGGAGGCCGAGGCGGGTGGATCACGAGGTCAAGAGATCGAGACCATCCTGGTCAACATGGTGAAACCCCGTCTCTACTAAAAATACAAAACATTAGCTGGGCATGGTGGTGCACGCCTGTAGTCCCAGCTACTCGGGAGGCTGAGGCAGGAGAATTGCTTGAACCCAGGAGACGGAGGTTGCGGTGAGCCGAGATCGCGCCATTGCACTCCAGCCTGGGTAACAAGAGTGAGACTCCGTCTCAAAAAAAAAACCAATAATAATAATAATGCTGCAATGAACAATCTGTGTTCAAGCTTTTGTGAGGACGTATCATTTCTTTTAGGGATACATCCAGTGGAACTGCAGGTTCATATAGCCACTCTGTTTGAAATTTTGAGCCACTACCAAACTATTCCAAACTGGCTGCAACATTTACATTCCAACCAGAAATGTATGAATATTTCAATTCCTCCACATCCCCCCAACACTAGTTATTGTCTGTCTTATTATGCCTGTCTATCCTACAGGGTATGAAGATGCAGACCATTGTGGTTTTGATTTGAATTTACCTAATGACTCATAATCTCAAAATGTTCAGCATTGTTTCATGTTTTTTTGTTTTGTTTTGTTTTTTTCAGATGGAGTCTTGCTCTGTTGCCCAGGCTAGAGTGCAGTGACATGATCTCCTCTCACTGCAACCTCTGCCTCCTAGGTTCAAGTGATTCTCTTGCCTCAGCCTCCTGAGTAGTTGGGATTACAGGCACATGCCACCATGCTCCACTAATTTTTGTATTTTCGGTAGAGACAGTTTCACCATGTTGGTTGGTCAGGCTGGTATCGAACTCCTAACCTCATGATCCACGCACCTCAGCCTCCCAAAGTGCTGGGATTACAGGCATGAGCCACCATGACCGGCTGTTTCATGTTCTTTTTTTTTTTTTTTTTTTAAGATGGGGTTTCACTATGTTGGTCAGTCTGGTCTTGAACTCCCTACCTCAGGTGATCTGCCCACCTTGGCCTCCAAAGTTCTTGGATTACAAGCATGAGCCACCACGCCCGGCCTGTTCCCTGTTTTTATTATCCATTTGCATATCCTTCTGGGGAGAAATATTCAGATCTTTGGCCCATTTTTAAATTTTAATTTTAAATTATTTATATATTTTAATAACTTTTATCAGGTATATGATTCACAAATATTTCCTCTCATTTTGTTTCCACCTCCATTAATGGTGTCATTTGAAGCACAAATGTTTTTAACTACAATAAAGTTCATTTTTTTCTTTTATTATATATGCCTTTGCTGTCATAGCTAAGATATCACTGCCCAAACCAACGTCACAAATATATACTCCTATGTTTTATCTAAAAGTTTTATAGGGCCAGGCATAGTGACACACGCCTGTAATCCTAGAACTTTGGGAAGCTGAAGTGGGATGATCATTTGATCCCAGGAGTTCGAGACCAGCTTGAGCAACAGACTCCATTTCTATAAAAAATCAAAAAATTAGCTAGGCATGGTGGGGCATGCCTGTGGTCCCAGCTACTTAGGAGGCTGAGGCAGGAGGACTGTGTGAGCCTGGTCAAGGCTACAGTGAGCCGTGTTTGTGCCACTGCCCTCCAGCCTAGATGAGAGTGTTACTTTGTCTCAAAAAAAAAAAAAAGTTATTTGGTTTCCGGCTTTATATTTAGGTTTTTAAATCCGTTTTAATTTTTATGTATGGTGTGATACAGAGGCCCAAATGGATTCTTCTGCATGGAGATATCCAGCTGCACAGTATCATAATGAAATAGTCTTTTCATTTAAAATATTGTTTTATAATAATCTTCTCAACTATTGTATTGTCCCAGTACAATGGGGGACTATTCTTTCCCCCATTGAACTATGTTGGCTCCCATATGGAAAAGCACATTGGCCCTAAATGTATGGGTTTATTCCTCAATTCTCAATTCCATCCCATTGACCTATGTCTATCTTTATGCTAGTATCCCACTGTCTTGATTAACATAGCGTTGTAGTCTTTGAAATTGAAAAATGTTTTCCAAGTTTTTTCAATATCATTTTGATTATTGAAATAATATTGATAAAAAAAGAAATAATATTGAAAAATATATTGTTCTGGGGTCCCTCAGTTCCATTTTAATTTTTGGTTAAGCTTGTCAATTTCTGTAAAATGCCACTTGGGATTTCAACAGAGACTGCACTAGAGGCCAGGTGCAGTGGCTCACATCTGTAATCCCAGAACTTTGGGAGTCTGAGGCAGGCAGATCGCCTGAGCCCAGTAGTTCAAGACCAGCCTGGGCAACATGGCAAAACCCTGTCTCTACAAAAAATACAAAAATTAGCTGGGCATGATGGCACATGCCTGTAGTCCCAGCTATTTGGGAGACTGAAGTGGGAGGCTTGTTTGTGCCCAGGTTGAGGATGCAGTGCCCAGGTTGAGGACTGCACCACCACACTCCACCCTGGACAACAGAGGACGACCCTGTCTCAGGAAAAAAAAAAAAAAAAAAAAAAAAAAAAAAAAAAGACTGCATTGGAAATCTATTGCTATCTTAACAATATTGTCTTCTAATCTATGAATATAGATATGTTTGCATTTATTAGACTGTCTACTTTTTTAAAACAATGTTTTGATATGGTGTATTAACTGCCTTTTGGATGTTAAATCAATCTTGCATTCCTGGGATAAACCCCAGTTTGTCATGAAGTATAATTCTTTTCATGTAGTCATGCACCTCTTAACAACAGTCCTGAGAAATGTGTTACGTGATTTTATTATGTGAACATCATAGAGTATACTTACACAAATCAAGGGTCTATGGCATAGCCTATTAGTCCTTGGCTACAAACCTGAACAGCATGCTCCTGTACTGAACAGAATACTGTAGGCAACTGAAACACAACGCATTTGTGTGTCTCAACACATCTAAACACAGAAAAAGCACAGTAAAAATACTGTATAAAAGGTACAAAGCAGTACACTTCTATACAGCATTTAACAAGGATGAAACTTGCAGGACTAGAAGTTGTTCTGGGTGAATCAGTGAGTGACCGTGAAGGCCTAGGACATTACTGCACAATACTGTAGACCTTATAAACACTGCACACTTAGGCTACATTTATAAAAAGCTTTTCTTCAATAAATTAGCCTTAGCTTACTGTACTTTTACGTTATAAACTCAAATTTGTTAACTTTTTTCACTCTTTTGTAATAACACTTAGAACACAAACACATTGTACAACTGTACAAAATATTTTCTTTACATTTTTGTAAGTTTATTTCTAACTTTTTCCCTTTTTAAAAAAAAATTAAGTCACATAAACACATTAAGCTAGGCCTACACCAGGGCAGGATCATCAATATCACTGTCTTCCACCTCCACATCTCATTCTACTGGAAGGTCTTCAGGGGCACTAACAAGCATGGAGCTGTCATCTTGGATGACAACGCCTTCTTCTGGAATACCACCTGAAGGACCTGCCTGAGGTTGTTTTACAAAATGTCGTTATGTGGTGGTACATGACTGTATATTGCTGGATTTGACTTGCTTATATTTCCTTGAGCTTGTTTGATGTATAGATTGCTTTTCATCAAGTTTGGCACATTATTGGCCATTATTTGTACTTTTTCTGTCTCCTCCTCTCCTCTTCTAGTATTCCCATTATGAGCATATTTGTGTCCCACATTTCTCTAAGGCTCCATTCATTTTTCTTCACTTTTTTCCAGGTCCAGAATTTCCATTTCTGTGTATAGAAATGGTGTATGTGTGTCCACTATACTTCATTGATACAGTCATTGTCATCATATCTCCCTTCAATTAAACAGTTTCTTTAATTTCTTTGAAGATACTTATAATAGCTGCTTTGAAGTCATTGGTCACTAAGTTCAATATCTGGTTCTCATCAAGATAACTTCTAGTCTTTTTTCCTGTGTATGAATCACATGTTCCTCTTTCTTTGCATGCCTCATTTTACTGCAGTGAACACTTTAGGTACTATTGTTGAAGCTCTGGATGACACTCTCTGCTCCACGTTTTGTCTCTGTTGTTTATTCACTTATTTGGTGACCTGGCTAGACTAATCCTGTGAAGTCCATTCCTCCAGTGTACAGCCTCTAATGACTCCATTTAGATTTTTTTGTTTTTGTTTTTAAATCTGGCTTCCTAAGGGTCATCCTTGGGTCAGTACAGTTTAGTAGTCAGCCACTGATAGATTAGAAGTTGTGCTTAAAACCCCCGAGCCAATAAAGTTTTTTGTTTTGTTGTTTTAGAGACAGGGTCCTGCTCTGTTGCCCAGGCTGCAGTCCAGTGGGCAATCTTAGTTCACTGCAACCTCCGCCTCCCGGGTTCAAGTGATTCTCCTGCCTCAGCCTCCCTAGTAGCTGGGATTATAGGCACATGCCACCACGCCCAGCTATTTTTTGCATTTTTAGTAGAGATGGGTTTTCGCCATGTTGACCAGGCTGGTCTAAAACTCCTGACCTCAAGTGATCCACCTGCCTCAGCCTCCCAAAGTGCTGGGATTACAGGCGTGAGACACCGTGCCCAGGCCCAATACGGTTTTCATTCTTTACTGTTTACTCTGTAGCTTAGAGACTGCTTTCACACTTCAGGGAGTTTACTATTTTGTCCCACATTTAGTGAGGAACTAATAGCAAAGCAGTTCCTTCTTCAGTTGCTTCTGAGAGAATGCAGATTTATGTATGTGTACATTTTTCCATATCACCAACTATGACCATGATTTTAGCAAGGCCTCCGTTGCTCTTTCTTTGCTCTCCCTTCTAAACTTCTGGCTGGTCTTCCTCTGTACGTATTATACCATGCTGCTAGTCTGCACATATTGCTAATTGGTTATCCTATTCTTATGAGCAATTCCTAGAGTCATAAGTTGCTCCACAGGACAAATAAAGTCAGGTTTCTCAGGAAGGGCCAAGGTCTTGCCAGTCTTTAAGGTTTGCACTGACCCCGCTCCCTTGGGAGAGCCTCTGCATTATGAAGCAGTATCTGGAGGGGATAGGAGTTCCAATTTGGGCCATGCCTGCTGGAATACCTCTTCCACAATAGCTCTTCTGCAACATGACATTGGGTGGGAAAATGAATGCAGCCTCTAGCTCAGACGTTATGACCCCCACTATTATTAAGTTCTGTAAAGTTTGAATATATTGAGTTTCAATTTATTGCGAATCCTCTGATCACTCTCCAGAGACTGTGAATGATTGCCTGTGCTAATTTTAACCAATGAAATGGGTATTCCTCTGGGAAGAAGTTCCATTGAACTCTTCATAGTGCCACCTAGAGGTCCCCCACATTCCAATTTTCAATTGATTATGCAGAAAGTGCTAATCAAGTTTGGGAATTTAACCTAGTCCATGAAGCTGATTACAAATGCAAAAATTATTCATTTCTCATTCTTAAACGCTGGAATTACTATTTACTTTAAAAAAATTATATGCTATGTTCTCTCTTATTACCCCAACTAGCAGAAAACTGGATACAAACGGATGCAAGGGCAAGGTGGAATGCAAAAAAAACTCAGTCTTGTTCAATTTCATAGGTGTCATTATATCTAAGGCTGGAATACTCAGAAATGCCCAGGATGTCAGTCTATTAAATATGTGCTCATTCATTCATACTTTTTGCATTTTGTCTGAAATGGCTCAGGCAATCTGTTTGCCCATGAAGGTAAACTATAATAAATGCAAATTATCTCAGTAACAATTACAGAGAGTAACTTTTCTAGTAGACAATTCTACTATGTTAATAAAAGTTATGTGTGACACTATTGACTTATTCTTTCCAGATCAACCCCAAGATCAAAAGGAAGGAAAAAGTATAATAAAAAGGAAAACAAATGTTAGAATTCTAATAGGAACTTTAGTATCAAACATTAAGCCAATATTAATAATGGCAACAATTCTACACAAACAGTAAAGAAAAATACTTTTTGTGAATGCCAAGTGTCTACTTAAAAATAAAAAATAAAGAAAAATACTTTTTGTATAACTGCAATAATAAACCAAATTTTCCATTTCTTTTATCGTCTAGACATGTTTTGCACTGAAGCAAAATAGCTATTCTTTATTTAACTATTATGGTTTTTGCCATGAAAAATATTTTTCAGATAACTATATTTGGCTTATTTGTACTGCCATATAAATAATCTTAAGTAGGTAAAAAATTAAAAGAAATATGCACAAAAAAAGGTATCCAGGTACATCTAAGTATTTTATTTGTTGGGAAAAAAGATACCCAGGGAATCATTATTGAACAAAAAGACACACCTAAGGGAAAAATTATTTTTCTTCTGGAACATAAATTTAAGTTTAGAAAAGTTTCTTTAATGATAAAATAATCAAATCCCTTCTCACAATGGAAAGTTCTACATGATCTTAAGGACCAAAATATCATGATCTGAAAAGCTACTTGGAAAGTTATTTGCAGTACAAACTCTATCACATTTACTTAAAAAGCGGCTGAAGTTGCTTTTTTTCCAGGTATACAGGCAACATTCCACACCATTCAATACTATCTTCCTTTTGTTGAAACACTTTCTTCTGATTGCTTCCAGAATATCAGTCTCCTGATTTTTCTTATAGGTCACTGGTGGGTCCTTCTCAGTCCTTTGCTGGTTCCTCTTCTTCTCCTCTACTTCTCAATGATGACATATCTTAGGTCTCCATCTTTTGCCACCTTCTCTTCTCTAGCTGTACTACATGATCTCATCCAGTTATGGTTATTCCCTAATGACTCTCAAATTAATTTTTCCAGTCCCAAATTGTACCCTGAAGCCAGACTTGGATATCCAAATGCCTACACAGCAGCATTTCCAACCTTATATAGCCAAAACAGAACTTGATTCCACATTCCTCCAAACCTGTCCCTTCTCCAGTACACCTCATCTCTGAAACTCAGAATTCACCCATTCTGTCCCAGTGGAATTCATCCTGGGATGCAAAGATGATTCAACATATACAAATCAGTAAATATGATATATCATGTTAACAGAATGAAGGACAAAAGCCATATGACAATCTCAAAAGATACAGAAAAAGCATTTGACAAAATTCAACACATGTTATCCCCATTCCCTGCCTTTTCTTTATAGCACTTGATATGTTGTATTTCCTTATGTTGTTATTGTCTGTCTTCTCCATTGGAATATAAACTCCATAAAAACAGGTACTTTGGGCTGGGTACAGTGGCTCATGGCTGTAATCCCAACACTTTGGGAGGCCAAACTGGGTGGATCACTTGAGGTCAAGAGTTCAAGACCACCCTGTCCAACATGACAAAACCCTGTCTCTACTAAAAATACAAAAATTAGCTGGCCATGGTGGCAGGCACCTATAATCCCTGCTGCTCAGGAGGCTGAGGCAGGAGAATCGCTTGAACCAGAAGGTAGAGGTTGCAGTGAGCCGAGATCATACCACTGCACTCCAGACTGGGCAACAGAGTGAGACTCCATCTCAAAAAAACAAAAAACACAGATACTTTGTACTGGTCACAACTGGATAACCAGCACACAGAAGAGTACCTGGCACAGAGTAAGGAGCTCAATAAATACTTATTGAATCAATTAATGAGTCAATGGACGAATGGGATTTCTAGTCTGAACGCTATCCAATAATATAATTTAGGGTTTGGTTTTCTTAATGGGGAAAAAAAGAACCCCAAGTATGCATCCTTAAAGACAAAAATTAATTCAGCTTGATTCTTCTCAAATGATATAAATTTTATTAGAAGGGAGAGTTGTTCAGTAGCACTGAGGCAAAATTCTATAGTAAATTTTCGCAAGATATTCTAGCTATTATTAATTTTTTTTAAACTTCAGACTTCCTTCTGAAAGTAAAATTTCGGTTAGTTTATTTAGTCCTCAACACTTAAAAACTGAAGCCACAGACACACACATATATATACACACACATACACACACACACACACATATATATATATATATATATACATAAACAAAATAGAGCAGTTTCATGAAATGAAACATATATAGGAATGTCTTGATTACCCAACAAATCCTCTCGCCTTCATTCCCTCATCAAATTGCTACGATTGAAGGCCCAGGAAGTTACCAACTACTTAGGGCTTTTAGAGCCATACGTGTTGCATCCTGTTAATTTGGTGCTCGTGCTATTGTTCACAGTAAGAAAAATGGGAATGTCCCCAGAGGCAGCAAAGTATTTTGCATGTGTATGTCTGTGAATTACCTGTCACCACATATTACTGCTGTCTTCCATCAATGCAGCTCATAGTATACAAAAACGTGGAAAAAATCCTACCACAAAACAGATGTGTCTTTTTATATACAATTTGGTAGAATGCAGAGCCTGATGATGAAGGGGTCATTTTTCACTAGTAGGCTAAAGAATTTACATCTTGAAAAATCAGTTAGCCACGCCAAGGCTCTCCTAAGCCATGAACAGAAGGCCAGTCTGAGTACTCCTTGAGGGTGGCAGTCAGTGAAATGAAAATAGGAACTCAAGATGAGCCACTTTGCCTCTAGCATCAAGGAAGGAGTTTAGTCCAGTATGCTCAGTTTATGTTAACATTCATTTAATACTGATTGTTGTAGTTTATGCCCTCTGCTCTGGTAACGGAAGAACGATGAACACTACTTCTTATAAAAAGTTTCAGGCCTTGTAACCCCTGTGAAAATAAATAGTCCAAATACCAGCTCCATTTCTTTCCCTGCAGGCACAGAAAAAGGAAAATTACTTATCGAATATTTTACTATGGTTTTTTCTCTATTTCCTCCTCTTTCCCTAGAAAGAGTTCACAGGATCCTGTATGCACCTATCAAAAGTTAGTTCAAGGAGGAAATAAGCTCAGTCACTAAGTAACATTTAAACCAGAAAGTACCCAATTCCAAGGGCTAAGCATCCATTTTATTTGTTGGCAAAAAAAAAAAAAAAAAAATTAAATACTGTGAAATGGAAATGTGTCATTATTCTCACACTCTAGGAGATAACATAGGAGCAGATATTATTATATTACTGCCTATATGAAACATGTAAATAGCAAGAGTTTTTGATAATGACATAATTATGGTTTTTTTTTTTTTAATTTTTTGAGACAGGCTCTTGTTCTGTTGCCCAAGCTGGAATGCAGTAGTGATCACAGCTCACTGCAGCCTCAACCTCCCAGGCTAAAGCAATCATCCTGCCTCAGCCTCCTGAGTAGCTGGGACCACAGGCATGCACCACTATGCCCGGCTAATTTTTTAAAATTTTAGTGGAGGCAGGTCTCGCTATGTTGCCCAGGCTGGTCTCAAAATCCAGGCCTCTGGGTCCAGTGGCTCACGTCTATAATCTCAGCACTTTGGGAGGCTGAGGTGGGCAGATCACTTAATATCAGGAGTTCGAGACCAGCTGGCTAACAGGGAGAAGCCTCTTCTGTACTAAAAAAGCAAAAATTAGCCAAGTATGGTGGTACACACCTGTAATCCCAGCTATTTGGGAGGCTGAGGCAGAAGAAACACTTGAACCTGGGAGGCAATTGCAGTGAGCCGAGATTAAACCACTGCACTCCAGCCTGGGAGACAGAGTGAGCCCCTTCCCCAAAAAAAAAAAAAAAAAAAAAATCCAGGCCTCAAGAGCTCCTCCTGCCTCAATCTCCCCAAGTGCTGGGATTGCAGGCAAGAGCCACAATGCCCAGCCTATGTACAGTTTTGTTAAATCAGTCTCATTACAGTCATACTTTATATACATGCAATTGTACTTATATAAAATAAGACAATGTGTGGTCACAACAGCAAGAGTCAAACTACGAAAAGTTATATCCTAGAGAAGACTAGAAAGAGTAAGTGCCAATAAATTCACATTAAAGTCACTGGAATGAATTTGGAAGGTAAACACTTCATTTTGACTTTGTGGAGGCAGCAGGCTTAAGATTTAGAAAAAAGGAAAGGTCTAAATTCTCTTGATGAAATTAAGCTGTATGAAATCCCTCAATATGATGAAAGTAAATTTATTTACCCGAATAGAGCTCACGTTTACTGTCCTTTCTTCTGGGCTTTCCTTAAAAACAAAAACAAACAAACAAAAAAGAAGTGGGGAGACAGGGGGATGGAAATACTTGGTTAGCACAAATCACCAGAAAATTAAGATGGCATTTATTCCAACCATCACTCTTGGATTCCTTTCAAATACACACCTACTATATAACCTTCCACATTTCTTTCTCCTTAGAAGCACAGAGGGGAAATAAAATCACAGTAGATAAAGTGATCACCATTTTGCTTATCTATGGCTTCATTTTAAAATTCTGTACTTAGCCACCAGGGTTAGGGATGAAGGGTGTTAGAGGTTTTTCTGAGGAATGTGATCACTGAATTGAGTCTTAAAAGATGAAGAGGAAGTTTGGTGAGGCAAGCTGTGTACATGGTAGATTCTATTAAACTAATTCTTTATAAAATCTCTAAGCCTAGGTAGTCCTATATTTCCTGGCTTTAACTATCACTTACTGTATTTCACTGAATCTAAGATCTATCAGCTCTAAGAAATAACATTTTAAAAATTATTGCTAAGTGAAAACTGCCTATTAAACTATGTATAACAGGCTGGGCACAATGTCTCATGCCTATAATCTCAACACTTTGGGAGGCCAAGGTGGGCAGATCTCTTGAGACTAGGAGTTTAAGATCAGCTTGGTCAATATGAGACCTTGTCTCTATTTAAATAAATAAACTATGTATAACACAATGCATTTTTAACAGAATTGTTATAATGATTAAGAGCTGTTTGCTTATAGCCATTACTGGAAAAATAAAAATAAATTTAAGAAAAAGTTCAGATGTAGGCAGATTTTTACCATACATCATTTTTGTAAACATAGATATAAACAAAATAAATTGGTGAAAGTACTTCTAAAACTTCAGAGTACAACTCCTCTATTCAAAGTACAACTCCTCTGAGTTGTGGAATGTCTATATTTTTTCACACCACATCATTCTCTGTGCCATAGAGTGTTGGTGATGTAGCATTTCTTTTTTCTGTTTACTCACACATAATAGTACATATTTATGGGGTACAATGCAATGTTTCAATATGCGTATATACTGTTTAATGATCAAATCATGGTAATTAGCATATCTATCACCATAAACATTATTTCCTTGCTGTGGGAACATTCAAATTCCTCTCTTGGCTATTGGAAATATACAATGCATTTCTTAAAAGAACTAATAGCTAATGATGCTGTGGTCTCAATTATATAAAGCTAACTACTTTTGGCTTCTGCTTCAGGAAAGCCCATAACTGGTATGAATCACTGCTTCTGCCTTCCCTCCCTCCAAATCATTGGGTTTTTGAAGGTCACAACAATGCTCCAATATTGTCTCCAGATTTTTCAGTCTGCCTGTGCACACTCCCACAGCAAATGACAAATATGTCATGATTCTTACCTGACCTACAATGATCACAAAATGTATCTGCTCTCTTAGAAGTAGGAAAGTGAAAAAAAAAGTTTTTGAAATTGGTAAATATACTACTCGCTGATGAATTCCATATATAATTTATTTCTCTAGCTTGAACCTCTCTTCTGAGCACCGCGTGCCTATTTAAAGCTGTCTACTAACATTTTTTCTTGGATGTTTAACAAGCATCTCAAACTTAAGTAGGTCAAACAGAACTTGATTCTCAAATTGTCCTCCCCACAAAACAAAATAACCTCTCCTGTTTTCTCATCAGTATTCCTCTTAATAATAAACAAAACCACCATCAACCCAAGTATTCAAGTCAAAATAACAAAAAGTCAGTCAGTCGCGGTGGCACATGCCTGTAATCCCAGCACTTTGGGAGGCCGAGGCGGGTGGATCACCTGAGATCAGGAGTTCAAGACCAGCCTGGCCAACATGGTGAAACCCGATCTCTACTAAAAATACAAAAAAGTAGCTGGGCGTGGTGGCGGGTACCTGTAATCCCAGCTACTTGGGAGGCTGAGGCAGGAGAATCACTTGAACTAGGGAGGCGGAGGCTTCAGTGAGTTGAGATCACACCATTGCACTCCAGCCTGGGCAACAAAAGCGTAACTCTGTCTCAAAATAAACCAAAACTGGCTAGGCATGGTGGCTCATGCCTGTAATTCCAGAACTTTGGGAGGCCAAGGTGGGCAGATCTCTTGAGGTCAGGAGTTCGAGACCAGCCTGACCAACATGGCGAAACTCTGTCTCTACTAAAAATACATTAGCTGGGTGTGGTGGTGCAAGCCTGCAATCCCAGCTATTAGGGAGGCTCAGGCATGAGAATCACTAGAACCTGAGAGGCAGATGTTGCGGTGAGCCAAGATCATGCCACTGCACTCCAGCCTGGGCAACAGAGCAAGACTCTGTATAAAAAAAAAAAAAGTGATCTCCATTAAACGTCAACTCAGACCATTTTACAACCCTACTTAAAAATCATTCCAGCCAGGCACAGTGGCTCACACCTGTAATCCCATCACTTTGGGAGGCTGGCAGGCAGATCACCTGAGGTCAGGAGCTCAAGACAAGCCTGGCCAACACGGTGAAACTCCGTCTCTACTAAAAATACAAAAATTAGCCAGGTGAGGTGGCAGGCACCTATAATCTCAGCTATTTGGGAGGCTGAGGCAGGAGAATCACTTGAACACAGGAGGCGGAGGATGCAGTGAGACCAGATGGTGCCACTGTGCTCCAGCCTGGGCAACAAGAGAGAAACTCCGTCTCAAAAAAAAAATCATTCTATTGTTTCCCACTGTACTCTTTTTTTTTTTTTTTTTGAGACCGAGTCTTGCTCTGTCACCAGGCTGGAGTGCAGTGGCACAATCTCAGCTCACTACAACCTCCGCCTCCTGGGTTCAATCAATTCTCCTGCCTCAGCCTCCCGAGTAACTGGGACTACAGGCGTGTGCTACCACACCCAGCTAATTTTAAGTAGAGATGGGGTTTCACCATGTTGGCCAGGATGGTCTCGATCTCTTGACCTCATGATCCGCCCGCCTCGGCCTTCCAAAGTGCGGGGATTACAGGTGTGAGCCACTGCACCTGGCCTCCCACTGTACTCTTAAACAGACCTGTAAGATAGATGGCTCCTGCATCCCTCCAACCTTATTTTACTCCACTCTTCCTCTTGTTCCTTAATGCTAAGCCACACTGGTCTTATTTACTCTTCCCATTGCCTACATCACTCTTCTATTTATTTCCAAGCTAGCTGATTCTCATTCTTTAGAATAAATCTTAGATTGAATGTTATCCGTTCAAAAAGGTCTTCCTGGACCATCCATCCCTGACAACTCTACAGGGACTCTATCTCACCCCACACTGTTTATTTTCTTTGTAGCATTCATCAGAATTTAAAATTATTATGTTTTTTTCATTTTATTACTTATCATTTGCCCTCATAAGAATATAAACTCCATTGGGCAGAGATACAATCTGTTTCCTTCAACACTGTATTTCCAGTGCCAGGAGCAGAAGGGACACCAAATAAATATTTGCTGAATGAATAAAGAAACAACTAGTTGTTAATTAAAAGGCAATTTGTGATAAGAAAACACAGAACTTCGGAATTTCCCAAAATGTAGGCTCTACACGTTTAAAATATTTCAAATTATTAAGTGAGCTGAATTCTTTAATAATGAGATCTAACTGGCCAAATTAAAGTTTACTAAATTATCTCTAAAGAATCTGGCTAATTTGAAACATTTTCAAGGTAGTAACTCAGTAAAAACTTCAGGCCAATATTCTTGATGAACACTGATGCAAAAATCCTCAACAAAATACTAGCAAACTGAATCCAGCAGCACATCAAAAAGCTAGTCCACCAAAATCAAGCGGGCTTTATCCCTGGGATGCAATGTTAGTTCAATATACACAAATCAATAAATATGATTCACCACATAAACAGAACTAAAAACAAAAACCACATGATCAGAACCAATTGATGCAGAAAAGACTTTTGATAAAATTCAGTCTCCCTTCAAGTCAAAACTCTCAACAAACTAGGCATTGAAGGAACATATCTCAAAATGGTAAGAACCATATATGACAAACCCACAGCCATCATCATACTGAACAGACAAAAGCTGGGGGTATTCCCCTTGAAAATAGGGACAAGAAAAGGATGCACTCTCTCACCACTCCTATTCAACATAGTGCTGGAAGTCCTAGCTAGAGCAATCAGGCAAGAAATAAATAAATAAATAAAAGGATCCAAATAGGAAGATAACAAGTCAAACGATCTCTGTTTTCAGATGATATGCTTCTATACCAAAAAAATCCCAGTCTCTGCCCAAAAGTTCCTAGACCTGACAAACAACTTCAGCAAAGTTTCAAGATACAAAATCAATGCACAAAAATCAGTAGCATTTCTACACGCCAACATCACCTAAGCTGAGAACCAAATCAAGAACACAAACCTATTCACAATAGCTACAAAAAGAATAAAATATGAAGGAATATGGCTAACCAGGGAGATGAAAGATTTCTATGAGAGTTAAAAAACACTGTTCAAGGAAATCAGAGATGACACAAATGGAAAAAAACATTCCATGCTCATGGATAGGAAGAATCAATATTGTAAAAATGGCCATACTGCCCAAAGCAATTTACAGATTCAACGCTATTCCTATTAAACTACCAATAACATATCCATCAACAGATGAATGGATAAAGAAAATGCAGTAGATATACACAATGGGATATTATTCAACCATACAAAATAATGAAATTCTGTCATTTGCAATTACATGGATGGAACTGGAGTACATTATGGTAAATGAAATAAGCCAAGCACAGAACAACAAATACTGCATGTTCTCACGCATATGTGGGAGCTAAAAAAAAAGTGGATCTTCAATAACAGACTTAAAGAGAGCCAAATCAAGAACAAACTTCCATTCACAATTGCCACAAAGAGAATAAAATACCTAGGAATACAACTAACAAGGAACGTAAAGGACCTCTTCAAGGAGAACTACAAGCCACTGCTCAACGAAATAAGAGAGGACACAAACAGATGGAGAAACATTCCAGGTTCATGGTTAGGAAGAATCAATATCGTGAAAATGGCCATACTGCCCAAAGTAATTTACAGATTCAATGCTATCCCCATCAAGCTACCAATGACCTTCTTCAGAGAACTGGAAAAAATCACCTTAAACTTCATATGGAACCAAAAGAGAGCCCGCATAGCCAAGTCAATTCTAAGCAAAAAGAACAAAGCGGGAGGCATCACACTACCAGACTTCAAACTATACTACAAGGCTACAGTAATCAAAACAGCATGGTACTGGTACCAAAACAGAGATATAGACCAATGGAACAGAACAGAGGTCTCAGAGGCAACACAACATATCTACAACCATCTGATATTTGACAAACCAGACAAAAACAAGCAATGGGGAAAGGATTCCCTGTTCAATAAATGGTGTTGGGAAAGCTGGCTAGCCATGTGCAGAAAGCAGAAACTGGACCCCTTCCTGACACCTTACACTAAAATTAACTCCAGATGGGTTAAAGACTTAAACATAAGACCTAACACCATAAAAACCCTAGAAGAAAATCTAGGCAAAACCATTCAGGACATAGGTGTAGGCAAGGACTTCATGACCAAAACACCAAAAGCATTGCAACAAAAGCCAAAATAGACAAATGGGACCTAATCAAACTCCACAGCTTCTGCACAGCAAAAGAAATAGTCATTAGAGTGAATCAGCAACCAACAGAATGGGAAAAAATTTTTGCTGTTTACCCATCTGACAAAGGGCTGATATCCACAATTTACAAAGAACTAAAACAGATTTACAAGAAAAAAACTAACGAGCCCATTCAAAAGTGGGCAAAGGATATGAACAGACACTTTACAAAAGAAGACATACATGAGGCCAACAAACATATGAAAAAATGCTCATCATCACTGGTCATTAGAGAAATGCAAATCAAAACTACATTGAGATACCATCTCACGCCAGTTAGAATGGCGATCATTAAAAAACCTGGAGACAACAGATGCTGGAGAGGATGTGGTGAAATAGGAACACTTTTGCAGTGTTGGTGGGAGTGTAAATTAGTTCAACCATTGTGGAAGACAGTGTGGCGATTCCTCAAGGACCTAGAAATAGAAATTCCATTTGACCCAGCAATCCCATTACTGGGTATATATCCAAAGGATTACAAATCTTTCTACTATAAGGACACGTGCACACGAATGTTCATTGCAGCACTGTTTACAATAGCAAAGACCTGGAACCAACCCAAATGCCCATCGACGATAGACTGGATAGGGAAAATGTGGCACATATACACCATGGAATATTATGCAGCCATCAAAAACGATGAGTTTGGGTCCTTTGTAGGGACATGGATGAACCTGGAAACCATCATTCTCAGCAAACTGACAGAAGAGCAGAAGATCAAACACCACATGTTCTCACTCATAGGTAGGTGTTGAACAATGAGAACACATGGACACAGGGAGGGGAGCACTACACACTTGGGTCAGTTGGGGGGAAATAGAGGAGGGATGGTGGGGGGTGGGGAGCTGGGGAGAGATAGCAAGGGGAGAAATGCCAGATGTAGGTGATGGGGAGGAAGGCAGCAAATCACACTGCCACATGTGTACCTATGCAACAATTTTGCATGTTCTTCACATGTACCCCAAAACCTAAAATGCAATAAAATAAATAAATGGGGAGGAAAAAAAAATCAAATGATAACAAAACAAAAAAAAAAAGAAAAAAAAGAAAGAACTAGATATTTTAGGACTTCCCACATAGACCAAAAAAAAAAAAACAAAAAAAGTGGATCTCACGGAGGTAGAGAGTAGAATGATGGTTACCAGAGGCTGGGAAAAGGGGGAGGGGGACAGGTATGAAGAGAGGTTGGTTACTGGGTCCAAAATATAGTTAGATAGGAAGATTAAGTTCTAGTGTTTAATAGCACAGTAGTGTGACTATAAGTAATAATTCATTGTATATTTCAAAATAGCTAGAAGAGATCTGGAATGTTCTTGAAATGGAAAAATGGTGTTTGAGTTGATAGATATCCCATTTACTCTAATTTGATCATTATACATTGCATGCATATATCAAAATATCACATAAATACCCCAAATTCAAAAAAACAAAAAAACAGTGTTTTGTTTTTTCTTTTTTGAGACAAGGTCTCACTCTGTCATCCAGGCTAGAGAGTTCAATGGTGCAATCACAGCTCACAGCAACCTTGACCTCCTAGGCTCATGTGGATCCTCGCACCTGAACTTCCCAAGCAGCCGAGAACATGCCACCACATCCAGCTAACTTTTTTTAAATTTTATATAAAAACAGCATCACACTATATTGCCAAGGCTGGTCTCAAACTCCTGGGTTCAAGCGATCCTCCCACTTTGGCCTCCCAAAGTGCTGGGATTACACGCATGAATCACAGTGCCCGGCCCCAATGTCCTCTCTTGCTTGTTACTGATCTAGGGTCAATTTATTCTACCTCTTTTAGTTAAGCTTCCCTCCTGTAAAACAGAGATAATGATACCTAGTTTTGAGGTCTAACATATATATGTACATTATAGTCCAAGTCTGGTGAGTCATAAGTCTTCAATACAGTAGTTGTTACTTCCTGGCTGTAATAAAAATAATAATAATAATAGATGTTGGTGTGGATACAGTGAAAAGGGAATCCTTCTACATTGCTGATGGGAATGTAAACTAGTACAACCACTATGGAAAACAGTGTGGAGATTCCTTAAAAAACTAAAAGTAAAATTACCATTTGATCCACCAATATCACTACTGAGTATCTACTCAGAGAAAAAGAAGCCATTATACAAAAAAGGCACTTGCACGTGCATGTGTATAGCAGCACAATTTGCAACTGCAAAAATGTGGAACTAACCCAAATACCCATCAATCAACAAGTGGATAAACAAACTGTGGTATATATACACGATGGAATACTACTCAGCCATAAAACTGAATCAATTAATGGCATTCACAGCAACCTGGACAGAATTGGAGACTATTATTTTAAGTGAAGTAACTCAGGAATGGAAAACAAAACCGTGGCAGGGTGTGATAGCTCAAGCCTATAATCCCAGCACTTTCAGAGACCAAGGCTGGCGGATCACAAGGTCAGGAGTTCGGGACCATCCTGGCTAACAGGGTAAAACCCTGTCTCTACTAAAAATACAAAAATTAGCTGGGCGTGGTGGCATGTGCTTGTAGTCCCAGCTACTCAGAAAGCCGAGACAGGAAAATCTCTTGAACCCAGGAGGCAGAAGTTGCAGTGAGCCGCGATTGTACCACTGCACTCTAGCCTGGGTGACAGAACAAGACTCAATCTCAAAAAAAGAAAAAAGAAAAAAAAAATTGTATGTTCTCACTCATAAGTGGGGGCTAAGCCATGAGGATGCAAAGGCGTAAGATGACACAATGGACTCGAGGGGCTCGGGAAAATGGTGAGAAGGGGATGAGGGATAAAAGACTACAAACTGGATTCAGTGTATACTTCTCGGGTGATGGGTACACCAAAATCTTACAAATAACTTACTCATGTAACCAAATACCATCTGTTCCCCAAAAACCTATGGAAATAAAACATTGAAAAAATAATAAATAGGTCGGGTGTGGTGGCTCACGCCTGTAATCCCAGTACTTCAGGAGGCCAAGGCAGGTGGATCATCTGAAGTCAGGAGTTCAAGACCAGCCTGGCTTACACGGTGAAACCCCACCTCTACTAAAAATACAAAATTAGCTGGACGTGGAGGTGTACACCTGTAATCCCAGCTATTCGGAGGATGAGGCAGGAGAACTGCTTGAACCTGGAAGGCAGAGGTTGCAATGAGCCAGGATTGCACCACTGCACTCCAGCCTGGGCGACAAAGCGAGACTGTCTCAAAAAAAAAAAAAAAAAAAAAAGGCCAGGTGCGGTGGCTCATGCCTGTAATCCCAGCACTTTGGGAGGCTGAGGCGGGTAGATCATGAGGTCAGGAGTTCAAGGCCAGCCTGGCCAAGATGGCAAAACCCCGTCTCTACTAAAAATACAAAAAAAATCAGCAGAGCGTGGTGGCGGGTGCCTGTAATCCCACTACTCGGGAGGCTGTGGCAGAGAATTGCTTGAACCCGGGAGGCAGAGGTTTCAGTGAGCCAAAATTGTGCCACTGCACTCCAGGGTAAACTACATCTCAAAATAATAATAATAAATAAATAAATAATTGTTCATTACTTTCCCCTTTAAGTGATAAATCAACCTTCCTGGGGCTATTCCTTCACCTTTCAAATGGGAATAATGGTGCCTAGCCTTATAACCTCACAAGACTGCTTTGATAATTAAAGAGTCAACGTATATTGTGGCACTTAAAAAAAGAGGATAAGGCCAGGAGTGGT